ATTATTATTATTATTATTATTATTATTATTATTATTATTATTATTATAAAAATAATTAATAATTTAATAAGATAAAAATCTGCAGCAGAAAGTTCTTCATGTCTCCTTACCCTGAAGACCTAATTTCATTTGGAATTTAATCCCAAACTGATTGCCCTTTTAGCATTTCTCTTGACACTTCTCCAAAATGGATCCCCAAGAAGCCACATCTCTTTCTCCCTCTCCCTCCCTTCAGGGGTGTGATTCTACTGGTTCGGACCGGTTCTGTAGAACCAATTGTTACAATTCTGTGCAGTTCAGAGAACTGGCAAATTGTGTCCGTGGCTGGCCCCTCCCCTCTCTGCCTTCCCCTCCCCTCCCAGTCAGTCCTTATTGTACATGTGCAACATTGCACACATATCCAATATCGCTGACTGCATTCTCCCCTACCCAGTCACTCCTTAAGGTATTTCTGTTTTTCCCTCCCAACGATCAGCTGTTCCATCGATCAGCTATGCTGGGATCCCCCTTGCTGTCTTACTGCTTCCCTGAGGCCCAAGACGCAAAAAAGGGTGTGCAGGTGGTGGTGGGTGCTGCGTGCCCTCCTGCACTTTATTTTTTGCCTTTCTGGGCCTCAGGGAAGCCTTCTGGGAGCAAAAACACTACCCCAGGAGGCTTCCCTGAGGCCCAGGAGGCCCAAAAATGGAGCACGGGGAGGGGTGCTGCAAAAAAAGCCATGCCACCAGTCATGTGGCCACGCCCACCTAGCCACACCCACAGAACCATTTATTTAAAAAATTGAATCAGCTGGCCCACACAGAGAGTGCCACATGGGATGCAGCTGAAAGCAGGCAAGCTGGCCATGTGGTTGAGGCAAGCCAGGGAGCCAGATGGAGAGCAGCAGCAGGTATGCCGGGCAAGCAGACAAAATGAGGAGTGACTGGGTGGGGCGGCGTGGTGGTGGGCAGGGTGGGGTGAGCCAGCCAGAATTATCACTACCAGTTCGCCAGAACCAGCTAGAACGGACAGAATCTCACCACTGCTTGTATCTCCTTACATCACGCTTATTTAATCTAAGTATTTCAACTGCCTCAACATCTATCTCTTGCTGTTGGATCTCTAGAGCACCCATCTGTAATTCTTTCATCACTTTTGGAAGAACTTTCTCTTTATTCTCTTCTATATTTTGAGCTTTTAAAAAATAATATATCTATTCTGTTTTAAGAATTATTACTATCTCTTTCATATCTTTATCTGCTTCTATCATTTTTTATTTATCTCCGCTATTCTTTCCTCAGCTCCTTCTGATTTCTCCTCTGTTTCCTGAGTTTTTTGTTCATCTTTTATTATCATTTGTTGGGTTTTTTTCTAGTCTCTCACATCATCTCCCTATGATTCCTTATCATACCTTCCTAAATACATTGAAACATCAATAATATTTCTTTATGAACTGTATTTGTTTTCCCCTGTTGAAACATTTTGTAATAATTTATTAGGCTAAAAGTTACTTAAGATTCCACCAAGATTCCAATATCCCAATTGCCCAGAAACACAAAAAATGCCAGCATTAGTAAAGTTTACTCAATCTTGAGACTGTTCCTCAAAATCCCCAAAATTTATAGTCCTTAAAATTTTTCCAATTTGCACCCTCAGAATTATCCAATTTTTAAAGTCTTGTTTAATTTTTCTTCTTTCACCTTGTAGAATGTTCTATCAAATAGTATTAATAATCCAGATTGGCCCACCAGATCTCCCCAAATCTCTAATCCACAGAATCAAGTGTTCAGTTTCAAGAATATTTCTTGTTAATTATAGTCCACCTTGCTTTAAAAATCTTCAAAAGGCTCACTAAATACTTCCAAGCAGTTAAAATGGCTGTAGATATGGAACCAAAATAAAGAGGCCTTCCAGGTGTTATTTGCCTTTCACTATTTCCTGTCTTCTCCTTTTGTTTTTATTCTGTTATCAAGGATTGCCTCACTTGCCAAGGTCTTTTCCTACCATGTACTAGTATATCTTCTTTCACCAGTAGGTGGCAACCCCGCTCTAAGTTCCAGCATTAAACAAAGCAAAAATAGAACAGCTGATAGTCAAATCAAATGAGAAAAAGAAAAGAAAACAAACTTCCTTTTTCCTTATATGATTTCTTCCAGTAATCAGACAATGTTATTGGCAAATTAAGTCAGTTTTCACACTACTAAAGTTCCAGTCTGAGCTTTCTATATTTTAAAGCTTCATAGTCTTCCATTAAATGTTTGTTTCAGTTTTGGGTTTATAATCTTTCTCCGTGTGTTAAATTGCCGTTTTCTTAGCGTTTGTAGAGTCTTTTTTAAAAAGAACTCTTTTATTTGGGTTTAAATCTCACCCAGTTCCAATCCTCTGTTTCCTCTGTCCACAAACCGCTCCAGCCCATAATCTTCTTTTTATTTTTATTTATTTATTTGATTTGCCAATTGTTTACAAAATAATAAGTATAAGTGTATACATAGTTGTGAATACATGAAATGGGTACATATAAGAAAAATAAAAGAAGAATAAGAGAAACAATAGGACAGGGACGGTAGGCACGTTGGTGCGCTTATGCACGCCCCCTACAGACCTCTTAGGAAAGGGGTGAGGTCAATAGTAGACAGTCTAAGGTTAAAGTTTTTGGGGTTTGGGGAAGAAACTACAGAGTCGGGTAGAGTATTCCAGACATTGACCACTCTATTGCTGAAGTCGTATTTCCTGCAATCAAGTTTGGTGCGGTTAACTTTGAGTTTGTATCTATTGTGTGCTCTTGTGTTGTTATGGTTGAAGCTGAAGTATTCATTGACAGGTAGGACATTGCAATGTATGATTTTATATACCATGCTTAAATCAGACCGAAGACGGCTTAATTCAAGGTTTTCTAGTTCTAGAATTTCAAGTCTGGTGGCATAAGGTATTCTACAACGAGTAGAGGAGTGGAGAACTCTTCTTGTGAAATATTTCTGGACTTTCTCAATTGTGCTAATATCAGATACGTAATGTGGGTTCCAGACTGATGAACTGTATTCGAGTATTGGTCTAGCAAATGTTTTGTATGCTCTGGTTAGTAGTGTGATATTACCAGAGAAAAAGCTACGTAGGATTAGGTTAACAACTCTTAATGCCTTTTTGGCTATGTAGTTGCAGTGGGCTCTAGCACTTAGATCATTAGAGGTGAGTATTCCAAGGTCCTTTACAGAGCTTGGGTCATCAACAAGATCTTGACTATTCAGCTTATATTTTATTTTCTGATTTTTTTTGCCAATATATAAGA